AAATATCTACAGAGCACGTCACCTAACAACAGCACATTATACATTCTTTTCCAGTGCTCATGGAACTTTCTCCATGATAGGCCATATGTTAGGCCATAAAGCAAACTTTAATAAATTTAAAAACATTGAAATACTGCAAAGCATCTTCTCAGATCACAGTGCTATCAAATTAGAAATCAATAATAGGAAGATCAATGGAAAAACAGCAAACACATGGAAACTGAGTAACACTCTCCTTAAAAATGACTAGGTAACAGAATAAATAAAAAATGAAATTTAAAAATTCCTTGAGTCAAACAATAATGAAAACACAACATACCAAAATCTTTGGGACACAGCAAAAGCAGTGATCAGATGCCAATTTATAGCAACATTTGCACACATCAAAAAGACGAAAGAGGCAAAATGAATCCCTTAACCCAATATCTCCAACAATTAGAAAACGAGCAGCAAAAAAAGCCTACAGTATTCAGAAGAAAAGAAAGAATAGAGATTCTAGCAGAAATAAATGAAACAGAAAATAGAAAGACAACAGAAAAAAAAAAAAAAAAGACTAAAGAGGTCCTTAAAAACAAACAAACAAAAAAAACTCCCAACAAAAAAAAAGTTTTGGCCAGATGGCTTCATTGGTAAATTCTACCAACCATTACTGAAGAGTTGACATCAATTCTACTCAAACCATTCCAAAATACAGAAAGGAAGGGAATACACCCAAATTCATCTTATGAAGTGAGCATAACGCTAAAACCAAAGCCAGGCAAAGACACCACTAAAGAACAAAATTGTAGGACTAATAATCGCATAAACAGACACACAAATTCTCAGCAAAATCCTAGCTGAGAGAATCGAACAACATATAAAAAAAATAATACATCATGATCAAGTAAGATTCATACCAAGTGTGAAAGGATGGTTCAACATTGTTGTTGTTGTTGTTATGTGCCGTTGAGTCGGACCTGACTCATAGCAACCCCTCTTTGGGTTTCCGAGGCAGCATCACTATGGAAGTAGACTGACCCATCTTCCTTCCAAGGAGTGGCTGATGGGTTTGAACTGCCAGCCTTCTGGTTAGCAGTCAAGTGCCTTAGACACTATGCTACCAGAGCTCCTGGTTTAACATTAGAAAAACAATTAACGCAATCCACCACACAAATAAAGCAAAGGAAAAGAATTGCATGATCATATCAATAGATGCAGAAAGGGCATTTGAGGAAATTCAACACTATTCCTGATAAAAATGGTAAAAGAAATAAGAATAGAAGGTAAATTCCTCAACAAAATTGTTGTTGTTGTTGTTATTTGCCGTCGAGTCAGCCCCGACTCATAGCGACCCCTCCTTGGGTTTCCGAGGCAGTATCACTACAGAAGCAGGATTTCCCAACCTTCCTTCCGAGGAGTGGCTGGTGGGTTTGAACCACCAGCCTTCTGGTTAGCAGTCAAGTGCCTTAGGCACTATGCTACCAGAGCTCCTTCAACAAAATTAAGGGCATAGAAATAAAACTAATGGCCAACATTAGCCTCAATGGAGAGAGACCGAAAGCATTCCCATGTGAATGGGAATCAGTCAAAAATGCCCTTTATCACCACTCCTATTCAATATTCTTTTGGAAGTGCTAGCCAGAACAACAAGACAAGAAAGGGAAATAAAAGGTATTTGAATTGGCAAAAATAAGCCCAACTATCTCTATTTGCATAATATATGATCCTACACATAGAAAGGGAGCTCTGGTAGTGTAGTATCTCAGGCATTTGACTGCTAACCAGAAGGTTGGTGGTTCAAACCCACCAGCCACTCCTCGGAAGCAAGACTGGGCAATCTACTTCTGTAGAGATACTGCCTTATAAACCCAAGGAGGGATTGCTATGAGTCGGGACCAACTCTACACCAGTGAGTTTGGTTTTTGTTTTATACACAGAAAATTCAAAGGACACAGAAAGAAAATTATTGGAACTAATTGAAAGAGTCAGCAAAGTGGAAGAGTACTTGATCAATATACAAAAATCAGTCGGATTCCTTTACACTAACAAAGAGAACTCTGAAAAGGAAATCAGGAAAACAAAACTGTTTACACTAGCCACTCAAAAGATTAAATACTTAAGAATAAATCTAACCAAGGGTACAAAAGACCTGTACA